TGGACAGCCTTTCATTCAAGGCCAATGTGTGACAAGGTGTATGAAATAATCATCAGCCCAGAAAATGCACCTGATTCTCAGTGCCCAGAGGTTTTACTGGGGCTCAGTCACATAAACATGGCTGACCGTCCATGTGGCTTACCTCAGCCTCCAGTCCCTCCAGAGGCTGAGCTGATACTGTGTGGCCCACGACCCCTCATGAATCACATTGTTAGACTATCCAGTGTGACCCAAGGCTCTCAGGGAAACAACGCTCTTTTCAGATAGATTAAATTAAAAGCATCCAACTTAATCATGGTGTGGAGGTCACCTCCCAGGAGCTGAGGGCAAAGGCCAGGCCTCTCTGTGGGCAAGGTTAACCCTTTCCCACACAACTGTACATTCCGATGCTGAATGAGCACTTCTGGACCACAGCCAACTTCTGCTCTAAGCCGAACAGGGGCCAAATAGGGTGAAAGACTAAGAAAAGAGGCTTCCTGCCACTTATTTGGGGCTAGAAAGTCTCAGTGTCTTTGCCCAGATTTGGATGCTCAGCAGTCCTGGTGTGAATTCACTTCTAGGACTGGCCTTCTGGACTTTCACAGAAAGCCAACCCCATTTCTCTCACCAAAGTACTGTCTTTCAGAGTCAGGTTGAATGTCCCTCATCTCTGTCAGTCCAAACCNGAGGGCAGTGTCACTGGCCCTCATATGTGGGATCCGAACCGGGGCCCTCTGGCATCCCAAGCTAGTTCTTAACCATCGCGCCACTCGGCCGGCCCCACATAGTTTTTAAAAAAATAATAAAAGTAATTTTAATGCCAATCCAAGTTCATATTCTACCTTTTTCCTCAGCATCATTTCCCAAACACTCCTCCTTACTTCCATATAGCTACCATGCTTATAATTTTAAAGAGTTAAGTCATATCTCATGGTATGGACACATTTACCCGTTCATGTTTTGGCCATGTACATTATTTTATATTGCTATTATGAAAACACATAGATTTCTTCTGGATTACCTTCTAAGAACAGCTGCTCCAGGGAAGGATTACTGGATCAAAGGTTACCAACAAGTTCTAGTTCCAAGTAATATGGAGAAAGCACACTCCACCCTGTCTCTCCCACTAAATGCAGCTACAAAACCTGTATAGAATGCATGGAGCAACTATTTGAGGACCCTGAAATGTCAATAGCAGCAGTACATTGAAGAAGACTAGAATTAAAATTGCCGTATAATTGTGCTTACCATTTTTTCCCCTCCAGTTCTCCAGACAACACTTGACCTGAATCTAATTGATATTTACAGGATTCTCAACAACACCAGAATATACTCTTTCTAACCACACATGGAACTCTCCACAAGATAGACCATATCCTATGTCATAAAATACACCTTATCAAATTTAAAAGATTGAACTCATACAAAATATTTTATCTGACCATAATGAAATCAACTAAAAAGCAATAACAGGAAAATTTCCAAGTATGTGGAAATTAAACAATATGCTTCTAAATAATCTGTAGGTCAAAGAAGAAGTCTCAACAGGAGTTAGAAAATATTTTCAACTGAACAAAAATGAATATGCAACATATAAAATCTGTGAGATGCAGCTAAAATAGTGCTTAATTGGAAATTTATAGCATTAAATGTTTGCATCAGAAAAGAAGAGATGTCTCAATTGATCATTTAAGCTTCCACATTAAGACACACACACAAAAAAAGCAAAATGAAACCACACACTGTGTTCCTTAAAATAACAGAAATTTATTCTCTCACATTCTGGAGACCAAAAGTTTGACATCCAGATGTACCAGGGTTGGTTTCCTTTAGAAGATCTGAGGGAGATTATGTACTCTGCATGTCTCTGTGTGTCCTTTTCTGTTTATTATAAGCACACTCTCATTGATTTAGGGTCCACCCTAATCTAGTATGATCTCATCTCAATCGTGCTTGAGTTACATTGGCAAAGACCCCATTTCCGATTAAGGTCACTTTCTGAGGGTGCACCTAAATTTAGAGGGGTGAGGAGGGACAATATTCAACCTACTGCAGACAGTAAAAAAAAATTTTTTAAGGCTATGAACATTGTTTAGTGTAATATGGGTTCTTGATGCCCTGTTTTCAGCTAATTACCAATTACCATTTTTAAAATTACCATAATGATTATTCACCAAGCATCCAATCTTTTACTGAATCTTTGACCCAAGTATCTCAACTAAAAACTATTCATTAACCACCAGCTTGGGGTAGCAAACAGAGCAAACCATTTTTGGCGCAATCCATTTCTTGGTGATTAATTTTTAAATAAATTATTAATATTCAACAGAGATGGTGCATTTAAGATGATTAAAGCCAGGGCCGGCCAAGTGGCGCGTTTGTTAAGAGCTGGTTTGGGATGCCAGAGGGCCCCGGTTCGGATCCCGCATATGAGGGCCAGTGACACTGCCCTCCACAGCTAAGTCGCTGAACAACAGCTCAACCTGGAGCTGGGCTGCCGTGAGTCGCCGGTGATGGCAGGTGGGTTGCCATGGCTACCGTGTGTAGCCAGCAGCCAGCGTGAGTGGCCATCCAGAAGCTGGCAACTGATCTGCCTCGCCCGGGAAGAGCGCAATGATGGTGCCAGCTTGGGCCAGAGAAGCAACGTCCTCCACAACTAGACTGAAGAACAAAAATGACAGCAACTTGTCTGTTCCCCTTCCCCCAATTCCCCAGTGCTGTTCCCATCCCCCAATTCCCCAATAAAAATTTTTTAAAAATAGAATAAATTTTTTAAAAAGAATTTATTCATATGGATAACAGACTGTCTTGGGGAGACATAATTGGAGTTCAGGAGAATCCTGGACAAACCAAGAAGGGCCTGCTGAGCATCATTCTCCACAAAATTTCACTAATGCATCCTTGGCTCACATATGTCACTTCATTCTCACTTTGGCCTCAAAGACAAGGAAACAATATCATCGGAGATACTTGGGCTTGAACCTGAATGGCTTTGTGAGGAAGAAATTGATCATCCATACTAAGAGCATCACATATATAAGAAGTGTCTTGGATAAGTTGGGATTCCTCGACATTGAAATTCCCACGATGAACTTTATCTCAAGGGGAGCTGTGGCCAAGCTTTTTATCACCTACCACATCAAGTTGGACATGAACTTACATATAAGAATTGCTCTAGAACTCTACCATAAGATGCTGGTGGTCAGTGGATTTGACCAGGTGTGTGAAATTGGATACCAGTTCCAGGTGATGTGACTTTAATTCACCATCTGTGAATTTTTACACAGCCTCTGCAGATTATTATGATCTCATGAAATCATGGAGATTGTATCAGGGATGGTGAAGCATATTATAGACAGCGACAGGATCACCCACCATCCAGATGGCCCAGAAGGCCAAACCCCTGAGATTCACTACACCCGACCCTCCCAGAGAGTCAGCGTGGTGGAAGAATTTAACAAAACCCTAGGAGAAACTAATCTGCCAGAAGCTGCAAGAAGCTAACCTCTTCAGAACTGAAAACACTAAAAAACTTCTTGATGATATCTCTATGGCAAAAACTATTGAGTGTCCTCCACCTCAGACCACAGCCAGACTCTTTGATAAGCCTATCAGAGAATTCCAGAAAGTGATTTGCAGCAGTCCCACATTTATTTGTGATCACCCACAGATAATGAGATCCTTGGCCAAATGGACCATTCTGAGCACTCTGAGCTATTTGTCGTGGAGAAGGAAGTGTGCACGTACCTACAGTGAGTTAAATAATCCCATGAAGCAGCAAGCAGCTTTTTAAGGAACAGGCCAAAGTTGCTAATGATGAGGAGGCCATGTTCATAGATGAAAACTTTTATACTGCCATGGAATACCCACAGCTGGCTGTGGCATGGGCATCAACTGCATCACCATGTTTCTCACAGACTCCAGTAACATCAAAGAAGCGCTTCTGTTTCTTGCCATGAGAACGTAGCAACCACTAATACATTGGAAAGCACAACAGTTGGCACTTCTGTCTAGAAAACAGTAATTGGAAGTTGTGTGACTCAGACATCTTTGCATTTCTGCAAAAGACCAAGGTCTGCAAGGCAGTTCTTGATTGTGTCTATCCATTTGACTACCACTCTTCACTCAGCCACCAGAAGAAAGGAGAGGAACTGAGAGTTCATTGTTACCCCTTGTTACCAAATAAATGATTATTCTCTTTTAAAAAGTTATTCCATAATTTCAAGAACAATTTTCATTTCTAAATGTTCCTTTAATTCACATACACACACATAGTTTTNTGGCACAGCCCCTCTCGGCCTCAGGCTAACTTGTCCTATGGTCAATGGATCACGCAGGGGACCCGGCACAGCAGGCCCCTCCAGGCACACAAGGCAAGGGATATCTTCTCAGAAGTATGTGTAGGAGCCTGTGCACAAACAGCCACATGGCACGGAAGGGTCACAAGACACGCTTTGCCTCTAGGACCCCCTGAATTTCAGGGGTCAGGGTACAAAGCTGACATGCAAGTGAAGCACAGGCGCCAGGACCCTCTGTGCTGAAAACCCTTTGTGGGACCACACCTGATACCACCTGGAGAGAGAGGCTTTTGAGCAGAGGGACCATTTCAGACCTAGGGAAAGGCAATTCACCGGGGCGGGAAGTCCTGGGTTCAAACCCCCAATTGTACCACAGATGCCTCACCTCCCTCTCAACCTGTTTTCTGTTTTAGAGAAAAGATGGGAGAAACGATAATTAGCATTTATCGTGGTAGTAAGGACGAAATGAGAGCTACACATAAATGTCTGAAATAAAATGACGTTTTTACTCTCTTAGAACAAAATATTCCTATATCCACAGCAGGCCCCCATGGATATGGTTACTGAGGAGAGCAAGGTTTGGTCAGAACATCCCCAGGGCTACAGGCCAGGTGACAATGCGACAATGTCCCCAGCACAGTCACTTGCCTCCCGCTCCCCACCCCTCGGCAGGCCCAGGCTCCAATCAAGAGGCTGTGATAAGCAGGACAGCCAGCCACCCTCGAGCCAAGGTGAGTGAACCTTGCCCCAGAGGCCTGTCACAGCCGGGACAGGGACGCTGTCCGAGGCCACACCATGGCGGGCCTGTTGTGCTTCATCCTGCTCAGCACCTCGCTGGCCAGCCTTCTATCGCCAGGGGACAGTGGTAAGTACTCCTCAACCTGCAGACTGCAGAGGTGGCCACCAGGGAGGAGGAGAAAGGGTGAGGAGTCAGAGTGATGCCCTTGCACCTGCTTGGTGGGTGCCTGTCCCACGTCAAAGGCTGGCATGAGACAGCTGGGCTTGGTGGTCTCAGCCAAAGGTAGCTTAAGGCCAGGTGTGCCTCCCTGTGGGAGGAGAGTCAGACAGTGGGTCAGAGGTCACAAAGACAGATAAAATCACATGTACAGAGAAAGAGGGAGAGAGACAGAGGTACAGAGACAAAGATAGACAAAGACAGAGACAGAGAGAGAAACAGAGAGGCAGAGAGAGGGAGAGAGATGAAGAGAAGTCCCCCCTCCTCTGCCAAAGTGAGCTGGGAGAGAGGAGAGCAAAGGGGTCACAGGCAGAGATGAGTTTCCACGGCAGGGCAGAGAATGAGGGAAAAGCTGGTGTCACCATCCTCAGGCTGGCTCAGCCAACTCAAGACTGGACAGACGGGGGTCTCTGGGTCTTCCAGATTCCCAGAGCCTGACCAAAGAGAAAAAGCTCAGAAGAGGGAGAAGCAGAGCAAAGGCAGAAGAGAGGACAGAGGTGGTGGCATTGCTCCTGGAGGGACACCGGGACTTGTCTGCCTCCTGGGTCAAGTGCAAGGACAGGAGCACTGAGGAACAGATAGAGGGGACTCGGGTGTGCAGGAGATAAGCAAGTGGTAAAAAATAAAAAAGAGAAAGAAAAACAGAACAGGGGAAAACCCCACGTAGGGGAATGACGAAGGGGAGAAACCGGTGTGTGGGTTCTCATTAAAAGCAAGTGCTTGGTAGTAGAGCAGATATTCGGAGTAGTGAGGGAGGGGCCCACAAATTACAAGTTTGAGCCTGGCATTGTTAGGATAATAAAAAAATGGGGAATTTGGAAGGGGAAGTAATTTGAAGTCGGAATGAAGCTAATCTTTATCGAGCATCTAATGTGTACCAGACTGAACACTAGGAATTGTATACATTCTTTAAAACAATTCTAAGAAGTAGGTATGTACGGTCATTTCCATTTGGCGATATTAAGCGGTAGGTACCAATATGTATTTGAAAATTCAAGACTTCTTGACTCTGCAGCCCTATTTTTTAGTGTGGAGCATGGGGAGTTTGGAGTTCTGAGATGAGGAGTGACATCCGTCATGGTGAGAGAGTTGAAAACATAGAGCTTAGGATGAAGGTTGAGGCTAGAAATATCAACTTGAAGAGTCTTTTATAATGGTGAGACTAAATTCTTCAGTGGAAAAAAGATAAGAAAGAGAAGTGCAGAGGGAGAAGAAAAGCCTCTGAGGGCCTCCCATATCACAATGAAAAGAGGAAAAGAAGTGGGTGAGTGAGAGACAGATAAGACTGAACTAGACAGGTGGGGAAAATTCAGCCATAGATACACACCGTGGGGAGAATCCAGCAATTCTCTGATCCAAGCCATTTTAATTGGCAGATCATGACTCATTTGTGAAGCATGAAATCAATTTGGTGGGTTTTTAAAAAATGAAATAGAACAGATTCAAGTAGAAAACTTGATAATAAGTGCCATTTTGTAGAAAATAGTTGTAAGTTCTATTTCTTGAAATTATATTTCAGTTGTGCTTATGTGTGTCCTGGAACTTTATAGAAATCATACTTTTAATTGTAGATTGTGATCAAAATAGTTATCACAACTCCCTACTTAACTCAGCTGAGACCTTGAAGGATGGGGGTGTTCAGAACGGGGCTGGGAGTGGAGAGGTACAGCCTGACCCAAAGCACAGAGCGGAGTAGCCTGAGGGAGGGGAGGTGACAGTGACCTGGAACTACTCTGAGAAAGGAGAGTTTAAGAAAGAGGGTTTGGATTGCCCACGCAAAGCTGGGTGTGCACGTGCAGGGAGGCTGGTGAGTTGTTTGGATGGGATGTGTTTACTTCTCAAGAGAAGGATGTGTGGGGTCTAGAACAGATGTCTTATACTGTAACTGGAGTAGTTGTGAGGGAGATGGGCATTTCCTTCCCAGCTGCCTTAGTGCATGAGGAAGGAACGTTTTCAGGTACTTTCAACTTTGTTTTCTTCCCTGTGTTCTAGTGTTCATTAGCCGGGAACGTGCCAATACCGTCCTGGAAAGGATCCGGAGGGCGAATTCATTTCTAGAAGAGATGAAGAAAGGAAACCTTGAAAGAGAGTGTTTGGAAGAGACTTGTTCCTATGAAGAGGCCCGAGAAGTCTTTGAGGACACCCAGAAAACGGTAAGGTGGGAGACCAGCTCTGCACTATGCTGAGCCCGAAAGGGGATGCTGGGTGGCCCTGGTTACCCTCTATTGGAGGCTGTCATGTAGGCCAGGCCAGGACCTTACTGCATGGCCTTCTGTGCTGTGGCCTCTGCTAGGAGGAAAGAGCAGCTGGGGAGGGGCTTTCATAGTGGGGAGACTGTGAGTCCTCTACCGCTTGCAACAGTATTTGTTCCTGACTCCTTACCCACCAGGTGAGGCACGTCAATTTGTTTCATGGGTGGGAAAACTGAGAGGTACGTATGGCCCAAAATCAGTTACAAGAGTTATGAGAACTTCTGAAGGTACTGTTAAATTAATTCTAAAACATGAAGCTTATTTAAAAATTATTCATGGCCTGGGCCAACGCCTCCCTGGGCTGGGCCATGCACACAGAGACATTTGGCTCACTGGATTTTTGCCCAAATTTATGGCCACCACCATATTTGATGTTAGGCACCTGAGTTGCATCCCTGAGAGTGCCTGGCACACAGACGCAACACAGATGCTGGGCCACAAGACCCAATACCATGCCTGTGCAGCAGCAACAAAGGAAGCTCCAAAGGCACCAGTCCCCTCACCTCTGGAACAGGCCAGGCCTCGGTTCCTTCCCTGAAAGTCGCTAGTGAGCTTGGTTCATCTTGCAAGGGACCCTTGGGAAAAATGGCTGCCATGCAGCAGTGAGACGGTAGTGGATGGTAGCTAGCCAAAACTGGGCAAGAATGAGCTGAAGATGCCTAGAGTAACAGGAGGCCAAACAGGAGCTCTGCCAGAGATAGCTCGGCCAGGCTACTGCCGTCACCACCACACCACTGACAGTGGACCCCCATCCACACTGCAGGACTGCAGTGGCGTGTCTACTAGATGCTGGGTACTGGGGACACCTGCACCACATAGGCTCCTCGTTGCACCCGGAGGACCACCTGACCAACGTCACCTTAAAGGCAGCAGATAGGATCCACGCCATCAGAGTTTCTGGGGAAAGCTCATCTTCTGTGCTCTTTGAAGACAGGTCAAGTTGCAAGTCATGGCCAATTCAAGGAATTTAAATCAGAAGAAGAATGTATTCAGGGCTGGCCAAGTGGAGCGTTGGTTAAGAGCTGGCTTGGGACGCCAGAGGTCCCTGGTTCGGATCTCACATATGAAGGCCAGTGACACTGCTCTCTACAGCTAAGATGCTGAACAACAGCTCAACCTGGAGCTGGGCTGCCGTGAGTGGTCAGCGACGATGTAGGCTGCAGCCCCTGCTGCAGTGGGTTGCCATGGGCTACCGTGTGTAGCCAGCAGCCAGCGTGAGCGGCCAGCAGCNCCAAAGTACTGTCTTTCAGAGTCAGGTTGAATGTCCCTCATCTCTGTCAGTCCAAACCAGTGGTTAACCCCGGACCAGGTCACTGGGCACCAGGACCTGGCTGTAGAGCAGGCTTATTTCTCTGGCCTCTCACTGGAAGATCTCTGATCAAGTTGGAGTCTTCTACTGTCTCCAGGGTATTTTTGCTTTTTTGCTTTCTCCTGTCCCTCCTCTGCTCCCCACCAGCTGCTGCAAGGGATGATAGGTGGAAGTCACTTCATGCTGGCCCTGTGTCCCCGCTGGCTAGGTTGCTCAGACATGAGTGAACACCCAAACACCAGGTCCCACCTTTCTGGTCAATCTGCAGAGTGGGGTAGTGCCAGGCTCAGCCTTTGTAGTTGGCAGCTGAGCACCACCTTCATGCAGAACACTGGCCCTGGCCCAGGGAGGGTTGGCCACCAGGGCTGGCTTTCTCTGACCAGCAGAAGCCCCTCTCAGGCTGTCTCTTTCTGTCCTCAGACAAAAACGACCAGCTGATCTGTGAGAATGAAAATGGAGGCTGCGAGCAGTACTGCAGCAACCACGTGGAGGCCAAACGCTCTTGCTGGTGCCATGAGGGGTACACACTCCAGGCCGATGAGGTGTCATGCGCACCTGCAGGTAACAGGTCCTCAAGGACCTGCTCCAGGGGTTGTGTGTTGTTTTACTTCCGAATGAGCAGTCACCAATTCCTGCCCTGCCACAAGTTCTCTTCTTGGCTAAAAGATGAGAAGGGGTGGCATACCATTAACTGAGCATCTACTACTGCTGACCACTGCATGCTCAGAGGCAGAGAGGACACTGAAGGCCAGCCAGGACAACAGTGGACAGGACAGAGCCCTGGCTGCGGCTCCCTGGATGGGCCTCAGGCCCCCTGCCCATTCTAGGTGGGCTCAGAGGAGAAAAACGAAGTTCTCCCTGCCCCACTTCCAGTTCTCTCTGCCTGGAATCTACGCTGCCACACCCAGTGTCTGTACTGACTGCAGCACAGTTCTGGATACCAAATCTTTTTTAAAGGCAAGCACTTTTAGGAAAACGGAAAATTTCTCCAAACCAACCTCAAACTAATGGGGCTGCAATTCCAAAAGCTGGGACACCCCAAGCCCTCTGTTTCTTCAGATGGAGATGTACCCATCCTGGTCAAAGCATCCTGAAATTCAGCTGCCACCTCTAAACACTTTTTTTTTCTGGCCCAAAACTTCATTGGAGCAGACCAAAAACTAAGAGTGGGTTCAAAGTAGCAACACAGTTGTCTGAGAACCTGGTTAGCCTTTAGACAGAATATCATTCATCCTTCAGGAAATTTAAGCAGCACTTCTTCCCCTTGGAAAAATTAGCAGAACCTAGTTTCAAGAAGTAGGGCCCTGTGTTCCTGCAAAAAAAGCCCCTGCCCCATGCACTCGCCCAGCCGCCCCCACAAGGGCACGGAGGCCTCCCGCAGCCCCGAGGCAGCAGCCGGAGGCAGAACCACTGCCTGCAGGGCTCAGAGTCCTCTTCTCACCAGCGCATTCTTCTATCACAGGGGTCGGCAAACTTTTGAGACGGAAGAGCCAACTCTGTCCCTCACAACAATTTAAAAATTATTCGAGAGCCATAAAACAAATGGAATCACCATTATGTGAATAACATCCTTTAAAATTTTTATAAATGAAACTATGATAGTTTTATTTTCATTTCCAATTTTACTTCAGAGCCACATGTACGTACCCAAAGAGCCGCATGTGGCTCACGAGCCGCAGTTTGCCGGCCCCTGGGCTATCATAAATCCCCACATATTGCTGACTTTTGTTTTATACAGTTGAATATCCATGTGGAAAAATACCTGTTCTGGAAAAAAGAAATGCCAGCGAACCCCAAGGCCGAATTGTGGGTGGCAAAGTGTGCCCCAAAGGGGAGTGTCCCTGGCAGGTAAGGCTTCAGGGCCCTAGGGTCATTCGGGACCTCAAAGGGAAAGTGGGTAAGTCAGCCGCAGGACACCCCAGGCCCCCAGTTATTCCTGCTCATGGGAGTGCTTCAGTGGATTTCCTCTTTATTCTGAGGCCCTGTTGTTGACAACAGCCTCCATTCATCTCAGATTTCAGTGCTCCCAGCAGCACCTCTTGTCAGCTTACGTGTTCTCCTCACACTGCTTCATCTCATCCCCCGACCTTCTACAGATGCAGAAACAGAGACCATACAACTAATAAATGGCAGAGGCAGGATTTGAACCCAACTCAGTCACCTCCAAAGCTCCATTTACTATCTGTCTCTGGAAGCTGAGATTCTTTTTTTCTTTTGTATGTCAGATATTGTTTTTTGAGGTTTTATTATTATATATACATATACATATATATATATATATATATATATATTTTTTTTTTTTTCCCCCTCTGTTGGCAGCTCAGCTCAGGCCGGACTCGAACCGCTGTTGCTCAGAGCTCAAACTCTTGAGTGAGCTCTTAACCAACTGAGCCACTCAGCCGGCCCTATTTTATTATTTTTTTAATTACCATCCCGTCACCCCTCCTCTTTGGCAACCATCAACTTGCTGTCCATATCTATGGGTTTGTTTCTGTTTTGTTTCGTTTATTCATTTATTTTGTTGTTTTAGAGTCCACTTATAAGTGGGCTCATACAGTAGGATTCTTGATCCATAACAAAGTCCTCCTGCAGACAGGAGGCTGTCCCCAGCATGTGGTCAGGTCTGTGGGCCGTGGCTCCCCCAGGACGCCTCTCCACAAGGCTGCCTATGAGCCTGGTCCCAGCTGGAAATGCAGAGTCTCAGGCCTCTGGACCCACTGGGTCAACACCTGTACTTCATGAGAATCCAGGGATGTGTGCTCACTTGAGTGTGAGAAGCGCTGCAACCCTGAGACCTGCAAACTCAGGTTCGAGCCTGAATCAGTGACTGTTCTTTAACCCTTCATTCTGAGACACTCCTCAAGTTAAACAGCTAAGAATTTTTAGAAATAAAAGCGTGAGAACCTTGTAAGGGAAATTGGAGAATCACGGTCATCCTTGGGCTGACCCCGGGCTCAGGGCCGCTCCAAGCCTCTCATTTCGTGGCCTTCTGATCCCTTCTAGACCACTCTCAGAAGTTGCATCTCTTGCTGACCCGGCCTCCCCCCGCTCCAACCCACCTCCCACAGCAGTTGGGGCCAGGGTGAGGCCTTTGCAGTCCAGAGTCCACTTCTCAGCTTTGCAGAACCCTGGTTTTTGGCATCCAGAGGAATGATCTGAGTTAGACACATCCAAATGGGACCAATATGTAATTGAGCGGCAAAGCCTCTCTGAGGTAAAGGCAGAGCTGGTCCCAGAAATGTGGATTTCTGTGCATTTACAATGGGGAACACTCAGGTAGGCTTGCTGGGGGTGACTGCAGCAGGCACTACTTTCCAGCACATACTCCCTGGGCCTGGCCCCACCAAGACCTCATGTCTCAGTATCATTTACCCCCCACAATCCCACCTGAGAGGAAGGTGCAATCTCACCCCATTGTATACGTGAGGATACTGAGGCCCAGCAAGATCCAGTGCCTTGCCCACATCAGAGCTGAGAGTCGGGTCCAAG